GGGGGTGCCCCCGGACCTGCACACGGCAGGGGAGAGTAGGCCGGGCCAGGAAGAGCCATGCACATCCCTGGGCCCAGCTCACCCTGCCCCGTGCAGATCCAGGGGCAACTGCCTCCACCATGCCCTCCTGAATGAGCAGAGGGAGCAGTGGCTGGAGCTGCCAGGTGAGCACCAGATCAGCGGCTCCCAGATGAGCAGCGTGCAGTGGTGGAAGCTGCCCCCACACTGCTCCCCCCGGACTCTGCTCCATCTCCATCCTGCACCTTCCCTGCCCCAGCTGTGGGCAGTGCTTGCCCCAGCACCTCCCAGCCTCACTCCTCTCGCACTGCGGTAGCCTTGATCTGCCCCCCGCGCCCCTTCCCTGCCACCACATCAGACTTACAAGCTGCCTGCAGCTCTCCAAGCTGTCGAGCTGTGCTCCTTGTTGCCTGCGTGCTGCACTGCAGCTACATGCACACACAGGCATTTATCAGCCAAATTATCGGCCACATCCAGCCGATTTCCGATATGACCAATTTCTTTATATCAGTGCCAATCCAGTATCAGACTGATGCATCGGTGCAGCTGTATTAAAGAAAAAGCAAGCATGAATGGTAGAGAAAGCAGAAGCAAACAGAGGGTGCCCTACTATGTAGGTTTCTTAAATACACGGTATCATGTCAGGACAAAAGCCAAATGCTCATCTGAGCCAAATGGCCCATCAAGCTAATGTGGTTAAGGCATGCCAGTTTCTATTGCCAAATTACACACAGAAGTGTAATGGTGCTAACTTCATATCCATTCACCTTTGACACTCCCCCACCCCAGCCTAAAAGACTAGGTACTCTTTTACAGCTGTCTTGTTTAGGGGGCAATCTTCAACATAAGGCCAGAGGTCTTGAACTTGCAGCTCTGGAGGCACAGCAAAACACTTAACTGCTCTGCTATTACACCTCAACACATGGGATCTTGTACAGTTAGGCAATTAATCTTGTGTCATCATAAAGTACTGGACAATAAGAAACAAAGAACAGAACCCAGAGAAATTGTTGCAGGAACAATAAGTGCAGCTTGAGAATCTACCTTTCCCCATTAACCATAAAGCAAGAGCATGAATGCTAACAACTCCCTCTGTTATGTCAGTTGTCTCAAGAAGTCCTGAGTCTCCTTTTCTGATAACTAACCATTTTTTCAGTTCACCAGATACAGGATTCTATATTTCTGCTCTCCAGTGATTCCTACCTCTAAGCCAGACCCTTCATTTATGGCCACCTCATCTTCTTCTTGCTATGTTGGATAACAAATGAAGCACAGAATGCAAAAATTAACAGAGTAGCCATGTCAACCCCTTCCTTGGGGAAGGTCAGAGTTGGCTGAAGAATGTTGCAGTGTGAATTTAAATTGCCACATTATTTTACCATATTGTGCAGCACTGTGCTCAGATACTATGGTGATGGGCAACAGTATAACATCTCTTAGATGCTACTGATGCATTACATACTTTACAAATAAATAGGCACATTTTGCTGAGCAACCAAGGAAAGAAAGAGAAAGATTTATGATCGCTACCTTTCAGAAACAGCACCCTTTTCTTACAACCCATACTATCATCTAAGATACTAGAGAGTTGCTGCCATTGTGTAGAATCCTGGGATTTGTTCTGACATCAACACCTCCCCACCACAAGGACCAATTTAGGTGCCCTATCACTTAGGCACTTTTTCAAAAGTTAATGCTTTGCTCTGAAAGTATGTCTATTCACCAGATTTTAAAAAAAAATCTAAAAGCGAACTTAAAAATAAGTCAAAAACATAAAAAGCATTTGCAAGAAACAGAAAAAGCACAGATGACAAACAATAGACTCATTTGAATTTAGAATGACCTCTTACCAGTCATCTAACTCATTTCTCTGCTTCACAGGAGTGATTTCAGCATTCTTAAACCAGCTATGATAAAGGAATAGTTCTAGCCTTTAATACCTGCAGTAAATGCTTTTTCACATCTTCTCCTGACAATCTGTTCAATTGTTTAGCGGTTATGATCATTATAATTTTTTCCCCAAATGGTACATCTAAATTTTATCATTTAAAAGTCATTTGGTTATATTCCACATGAATGAAAAATGCTAGTAATGACTTATTTCCTCTAAAATATCCTCGTGTTTTGTATTTTTTTGAAAATCTATATGTGAATGTTCTGCACATAGAACAGGTGGAATGTAATAAACATAAGGAAATAAAGCTTCCAACATGTAAGTGTGAGCTGCCCTCTAGAGGTGTTAAATAACACTACTACAGTCCCAGAACATTTTCAAATGTAATACTGAATAGCAATTTGTTTTGGCTAACTCCAAAACAAACTGCTATATAGTACTGCATTTGAAAATACCTACTTTCTCTCTTGAGCTCCTAAAAGGCATTAAAGAATGATAAACATTTTTATGTATAAAGTACATTTTATATCTGATAGTTAAGAAATCTCCTATGCAAGATCCAGAACATCCATCATGCTTATCTAAAGGAAACCCCTAATGTAGCAGGGGTTTCCTGAAAAGGGTGGGAAGGGCTGTCTCTTGAGTTTTGGCCTTACTTTGCTTCATCAGGTCCTGTGGCTGCTACACTACATACTCTAAAGAAATCTTCCTTTGTCGTACTTTATGGGTAGGGATGGAAAGACAATGCTTTAAAACTTAAAGGGCCATTTATCCTATGATAGGGTTACTAAATGTTTTTAAGTCCCACTGCCTAGTGAAGAAATAACTTCATTGACTGTAGTTCTGTGCTTGGGAAAGTGTATTATAGGGAGCAGTGTTGACTGTAATGGGAACACCAAATAATCCTCTAATGGGTATAAGCAATATTTTTTGCTGTTGTTCTAAGATGGCATTTTGGAAGTTGAACCCTTAAGATAGTAAGGTTAACAGTCTAAGAGATTTTCTAAATCAGTTTTGACAGCTTCTGTATGTACCAAAAAGGTCAGATACAGTGTCATGTGAGAAATTACTAGTTAATCTGAAAAAGATGGGGATTAATATAAGAATTGCAGGGTGGGCAATGAACTAGCCGAGGGGAGAGCCATAAACAGGATGTACTTGAAAAAGAAACTTTCAGGCTACATGGAAGTAATGTGTGGGTTCTACACAGAATAATCATACCACTGATCTTATTTAATAGTTTCTTAAACAAAACTTGGTACAAAATATAGGAGTCTCTTAATGAAATTTGCTAATGATTCAGAATGTAGGAAGCACCGTCATTACAGAAGCTGATGGAAAAAATCGTGTGACTTTGTGGACTGGACTAATAGGAACAGGATGAAATGTAATAGTTTATAGTCCACGGCCATGTGTTTAGAGACTGAGAACAAGAATTCCTGCTATAAGCAGGCATTCTTGTTCCTGGGTTAGAATTCCTATAAGCAGGAATTCTAACCCATCTGCTGGAAACAACAGAAGAGGTCTCTCCTGATATACTTTTGAGTTCCACTTGCCTTTTTCAATGCTACAGCTGACTGGTGACTCAAACTCATCTTATGATCCCATAATAGTGGTAATGGGGGCCAACAGTAATAGGAACGTATTAATATCATTTACAATCCTAGCAGGACCTCATTTGGAATACTGTGTACTAGTCTGGTCACCCATGCTCAAGAAGGCTGGATTGAAAGTGGAGTAGAGCAGAGATGTACTTCTAGCCTGACTGGAAAAAAAGCTATTTAAAATAAAAATAATGAGCTACCTACAGAAATAATATTCATGTCAGTGTGTTCGCAAGGGTGCTTTTTAGTTCCTAACCTTGAAAAAAGATTCACTTACCAATATGGACTTATGTATCTGTATGTAGTCTCAGTGCTATAGTCAGGGCTACAGTCAGCATGATATTTTGTAAGGAAAAGCAGGCTTTCCCACATGTGCACAAAATGTTCTGGGGAACAGACAAAATGCTGTACAAGTTTTATATTCCTTTAGACATAAGTCCAGAAGAGTTAAACAACCAAACCTTTTTCTCAACAGATGCTGACCTAAAAGTACTACCACATGTAGGCAAATAAATAGTTTAGATTTGAGAATACAGTAATTTATCTTTGGTGGCTGGTGGAAAAGTGTAGTAAATTTAATGCAAAGGTTTGGAGTGAACTATGTTAAAACTAATACAGATTTCACTTAAAATCTGTTTCTGGATATGAAAGAACGATGTTGAATGTTGAACGATGATGCTTTTATCAGTTTAACAAGCCAAACATACATCATCATAATTAATACCTTGAACTTCCAAAAGGCCTTTCATTCAAAGTTCTTTAAACAGACAAATCAGTTAAGGCTTAAAATACCTAGTTGAGACAGATCAGTGATCATGTCACCCACTATGGCACCTGCTCATGAGTAATGAGGCTGCTCCGACACACTGTAATTACAGAACATCAGAACAGATATTCAGTTAATCCAGCCAGCTGGAGTGTGATAATTACTGCGCTCTAGCAGACTCCAGCGTCTCGTGTAATAGCATCCCCATGCTTAAAAATGGCAGGAGGGGTGCTTTATCTAAAGCTTGTTCAACAAGCTTTAGAAAATGTGCCCCTGCCACCATTTTTAAGCGCACGGTCACTGATAGAAAAGACGTTCCAGGTGCTTTAAAATCTCTCAGAGCTACTCTGATTAAAGTGCCCACCCCCCCAACACACTCCCAGAGTACATGAATAAACGTCCTTTGCTTGCAACCTCTGGGGCAAAGCATAGCAATTATCACAAGAGCACACCACCACTTCAAAGCTACTTAGGAAAGGAAGTGAAGAATTCCACGTTCCAGCCAATTAAACCTGCAGTTGGACAGAAGGTCATTTCTTAGGTTCAAATCATCCTTTTTCCCATGCCCTCAAAAACCTAGGCAAGGGGCTCTGAGGGATAAAATTTTTGCAAAGACCCCTCCCTAAAACTTCCTCCTTATAATACTTAGCTTTAGTCCCTTCCCAGAATGGGCCACACAGCTACCTTCAAAATCCCAATAAATGTAAAGGATAGGACAGAACCCTGTGCTTTTCCAGCTGCCTTGGCCCCTGGCATTAAAGCTCAAGTACAGTGAATGGAACAGTAATGCCAAAAAGACGCCATTCTGACTGAAACAGTCCCCGGAATCCTATGGTTGAGGGGCCAGGGTCTGCTGAAAAGCTAGGAACCACAGAGACTTCTTTATCTTTTCACCTTAAGCTCTATGGCCTGTAAAGGAAAAATGTGCATGTGCCACAGGTCCAACCACCAGTTTGCCTAGTCTAAGTATCTTCGGTACAAATATATTTGGCATCAATCAAACACCTTGGGTCCTCGTTGCCTGCTGGATTTTCCCATGAGTTTTTCATCATCCAGTTCACATTGCTCCAGAAGATCCAAAATGTCTTCTTCCTAAAACCATGAATGTATCTGTTATTAACACAAAGCAGTATTCAATCTTTTTTCCAAAGGTTAGCAGGAGCTTATACTGACATTTTGAATTGGTTTTCTGAATCAATCATCACTAAATTCCAAAATAATACTATGTACATTTGTACACATACTCTCTTATCTTACATACAGATAGAGGTATACGCATTTTTCCAAAAGCCAACTGTTTTGGCAAATTTGTACATTTTTGGGAGGTGATATATGCATCTCAAATTGTAATTACACTTAAACTAGTGCCAGCTATCCATCTGTAAGCTGTATTTGACCCTGGTAAATTTGCTAATGATGGCTGTGTGAATGAGCAGTGAGCCACAAACTTGTTAGATTGCTGAGGTTGGAAAGACTATTTCCCTTAAATTTGAAGTAATTTCTCAGTATTTCAACAATGCTTTTAAAAATGATAAACTGACATGATTTAAAATAGCTCTTTTCTCTTACTCATTATTTTCAGCTACATAACTGAGCAGCCAGGAATTTACCCTAAGGCAGGGAATCCCTGGGAATCTTAAAACCTAATGGAATCAGCTCTGTGACAAGTATTTTCCCACCCAGGGCACAAAGAGTATTCCTGAGCACCCCATTAGAGCAAGAAGGCTACAATTATTAGCTAATAAAGTAGTCTACGAGGTTGGAGTTTTGGGGGTTTTTGGAGGGGAGAGGGGTTGGCCCTAGACTGATTCAGATGCTGGTTCCACATATGGGTTAAAAAGGGAGCTTAAAGTCATCTATTCTTTCTCTGCCCTGAGTCTTGTATCCAATGATGTTCAGTCAGATAAGTGTATCCGGTCTATTGTTTACATGTAAAATAATAATAAAACTAAGGAAAAATTTAAAGAGCCATATATGGTCATCTTGTAATTGATCCCAAGCTTCATGCTAGGTCACAGACTTCCAAGATATCTAATTAAAACCAATAGTTCTGCAGACTATTACCTTCATTCTTTTTAAAGGGTTATTCATCTCTCGCTGAAGTGAAGCCGCTCGCCCAGCTAAGAATGTCTGGAAAGCAACGGCTAACAAACTCTCATATTTTTCAAGTAACAGCTTATCATCAGGAGGGTAAATTCGCCTACAAAAAATATATATATAATGGAGACAGAATGAAACACAGAAGATGAGCTATGTGCCACACGCGGACTATAATTTATGTAACTAAGTCACAAAGTTCCTTACATAGATAGCAATTTATTCTATATTCTGAACAACAATCTCTAATCTAATTTTACCTAAGTGTACATATACATGTTTTAAGAGCAACTGGCTGGTTTTAAAAAAGCAGGGCAGATTCTACAAAAATATCAAGACTCAATTTTTCAATACTCACTGAAATTTCAACATCAGATGTGAAGGAAGCATGAAACATTAACAAAATATGTATTCAAAATTTAGTGTTGTGAAATATATTGTTTTAGAAACCAAATGATACAAAAGAACTGAAAAACCTGACTAATGAACTTAGTTTTCTTTGGGCACGTTTATAAATTAAAGTTTTAAGATGCATTGGACTTCTACACTAGCCTTTTCAGCATTATATATAGGAATACTCACCATTAGCAAGTATGGTCTGACATAAAAATGTAAAGGAGTGACCCTGATTTTCTATTACACCAACTATGGCATTATTCTCCAGGTAGGGTTTTTAGAACAATATAGAAAACAGGGCTGAGTGATTTATTCACACTTATCAAGGAACAAATGGTTCCTCAAGAAATATCTCCCCAATCCATTTGTCATGAAGACCTGAAGCCAGAAACTCTGGAAGCTGGTGACTAATTTCTAATGTATCATAAGGAGTTATCCAAAAGCTAATTCTGTTTAACATAAGCATGATATATGAGGCATATAGATTATATAAACCAGCATCATGTAATCAGTGTATTTTAGTGGTCTTTTGTGAGTTTTCAATAAGGTTATTTTCCCTTTCTCTGCCTCACAATGTTTTTTTCACCTCAGAAAGTTATTTCTTACTATGATCATCACTTAAATAGAAAAAAGATGGGTACAGTCTCACTAGACTTAGGATTCATTTATGCAGCATAAGGAAGGTACAACTGTAACTCAGACATAGGTATACCCATATTAATTATAATTTAGAAGCAGAATTAAAAATATTAATGAAATATGATAATATGGGCTTGCAGTCAGACTAAGATCTCCCAGAACCTTCCCAATAAAGTGTACAGGACAAGAATTTAACCAAAAGTTCAAGACCTGCCACTGCCACTACAGAGAAAGCCAAACAGCTCTGCAGTAGCAACTGCCCTTCTTAATAGTGTTACATCTAATGCTGGAAAAAGAGGAATAACCATAATTTTATGAAATATTTGTTTTAACTGAATATGAAAAAATATACACAACCCCAGTGTTCCCTGGAATCAGGGAACCTCTCCCAGATTTGGGGTTTGAATTTTGGTATCTAGCTGAACTATGCATAATGCAAGAATGACAAAAATATTCAGTTTTCCTGCTCCCTGAATCTAGGGGTTGTTCTGTTAATGTCGTCCTTTTTTCCTTACGGTGTTACTATCAAATATTTACTGTAGACATTTCTGGCAAAACAAAGATTTCTTGTGAAGATCTGATTTTCTTTTCAAGGATTTGATTAACACCATGGGTGATCTGCCAAGACAAGAAGTTCCCCAACTGGCCTATGGAATACTGCCAATGGTACCAAGTACTTCACAAAAAAAAATTATTTGCAAGCTATTGCATCCCCTGCAAAATAGCAGAAAACACCTACACAAACAAAATTATTTCAATAACGTTAAGCTGCAATGATGAACAGTACTCACTGACTATACCAACATATAGATTTTACTTAGTGGTGCGTTGAGGACTCTGGCTGTGCACATAGGCACTATGCTCTTATCTGATACAGAACCAGCTTTCTCTTAGGCCCAGGCTTCAGCATGCACCAAGCCACACAAGAAGAAAATTGATGAAGTTTTATATTATGCTGCCAGAACACCTCTCAAAGACATATGCTTATGGGCTGGGTTAGAACAGCTGCAAACTTTGCAATCCTGACATCAAAAAAGGCCTCCACACAGGAATCTTTTGCAGAGCAGGAGCTCCCTCTGCACCTCAGGCCCTGCAGAACCTGCAAACTGATCCCCATAAGCCTAAGAAGCAGACAGACAGCACATGAGGAGTTCCCTCTAGTCTCGGCAATGAAGTTGGGTTGGGTTGAACGGGTTGAATGATGAGAGTTGTAAGGCCTCTACACTGCAGCCAAGCAAACAGGTCAGCAACACCCATCCCCCTAAACAAGGCCAGCTGACCCTCAGCCTGCAATTGGTTCTAGGGCTGCTTTTAAGGAGTTTTTGCAGCACCTGGTCCCTGCTGCACAACAAACTGGATTCAGTCTGTGAGTAGTTCTGTTTCATGTGACTTGGCTGGTGCCTGCTCCTGCATTCCTTCCCATGTACCCAGGCCCCGCA